CCTTCATACACCTTTATCCACCATCAGCTTCTACACCATCATCTTCTACACCATCAGCTTCTACACCATCACATTTGTTCACCATCACCTTCTACACCATCATCTTCTACACCATCAGCTTCTACACCATCACATTTGTTCACCATCACCTTCTACACCATCATCTTCTACACCATCAGCTTCTACACCCTCAGTTTCTACACCATCATCTTCTACACCCTCAGTTTCTACACCATCATCTTCTACACCATCAGCTTCTACACCATCATTTTCTACACCATCAGCTTCTACACCCTCAGCTTCTACACCATCAGCTTCTACACCATCAGCTTCTACACCCTCAGTTTCTACACCATCATCTTCTACACCCTCAGTTTCTACACCATCATCTTCTACAACATCAGCTTCTACACCATCATTTTCTACACCATCAGCTTCTACACCATCATCTTCTACACCATCAGCTTCTACACCCTCAGCTTTAACATCATCATCTTCTACACCATCATCTTCTACACCTTCACCTTCTACACCATCACCTTCTACACCATCAGCTTCTACACCCTCAGCTTTAACATCATCATCTTCTACACCATCATCTTCTACACCTTCACCTTCTACACCACCACCTTCTACACCATCAGCTTCTACACCCTCAGCTTTAACATCATCATCTTCTACACCATCATCTTCTACACCTTCACCTTCTACACCATCACCTTCTACACCATCACCTTCTACACCATCATCTTCTACACTATCAGCTTCTACACCATCATCTTCTACACCATCAGCTTATATACCATCACCTTCTACACCATCATCTTCTACACCATCAACTTCCACACCATCACCTTCTACACCATCACCTTCTACACCATCATCTTCTACACCATCAGCTTCTACACCATCAACTTCTACACCATCAGCTTCTAGACCCTCAGCTTTAACATCATCATCTTCTACCCCATCACCTTCTACACTATCAGCTTCTACACCATCATCTTCTACACCATCAGCTTCTACACCATCATCTTCTACACCATCAGCTTCTACACCATGATCATCTAAACCATCATCTTCTACACCATCATCTTCTACACCATCAGCTTCTACACCATCAGCTTCTAAACCATCACCTTTAACATCATCATCTTCTACACCATCATCTTCTACACCATCAGCTTATACATCATCATCTTCTAAACCATCACCTTTAACATCATCATCTTCTACACCATCACCTTCTACACCATCAGCTTCTACACCATCATCTTCTACACCATCATCTTCTACACCTTCACCTTCTACACCATCAGCTTCTAAACTATCACCTTCTACACCATCATCTTCTACACCATGATCATCTAAACCATCATCTTCTACACCATCATCTTCTACACCATCACTTTCTACACCATCACTTTCTACACCATCCCCTTCTACACCATCCCCTTCTACACCATCATCTTCTACATTATCACCTTCTACACCATCATCTTCTACACCATCATCTGCTACACCATCATCTTCTACACCTTCACCTTCTACACCATCATCTTCTACACCATCATCTTCTACACCATCAGCTTCTACACCATCATCTTCTACACCTTCACCTTCTACACCATCACCTTCTACACCTTCACCTTCTACACCATCACCTTCTACACCATCATCTTCTACATTATCACCTTCTACACCATCATCTTCTACACCATCATCTTCTACATTATCACCGTCTACACCATCATCTNCTTCTACACCATCATCTTCTACACCATCATCTTCTACACCATCATCTTCTACACCATCACTTTCTACACCATCAGCTTCTACACCATCATCTTCTACACCATCATCTTCTACACCATCAGCTTCTACACCATCATCTTCTACATTATCACCTTCTACACCATCATCTTCTACACCATCAGCTTCTACACGATCATCTTCTACACCATCAGCTTCTACACCATCACTTTCTACACCATCAGCTTCTACACCATCATCTTCTATACCATCATCTTCTACATTATCACCTTCTACACCATCATCTTCTACAGCATCATCTTCTATACCATCATCTTCTACACCATCACCTTCTACACCATCATCTTCTACACCATCAGCTTCTACACCAGCAGTAGTCAATCCTGGTCCACACGGTCTGCAGTCCTGCCTGTTTTATTTGTTTCTCTGCTCCAGCACACCTGAATATATTGAATGGATGATTTTCAGGCTCCTGTAGAACCTGGATGAGGTAATTCACTGACTGACTCAGGTGTGTTAGAGAAGTGAACAAAGTAAATCATGAGGGGCTGTGGCCCTTGAGCACCAGGATTAACTATCCCTGTTTTACACCATCAAAAATACATTTGATAACATGGAGTTAACACAAATCATAAATTTGTTGCCACCTTTCACCTTGCATGGCACATTATAACTCTGGACTGATGAGGATTATATTTTCGTTAATCCTTTTAGTTTCTATTCTGTTTGTTTGTGGTTTGAAGCAGCTGAAAATCTCAGCAACAGTGGCGACAGAAAAAAAAAAAAAGCTTTTTGAACTGGACTGAGTTGAAAAGTTTAGGAAAATGATTTAAGTCTTTTTACCATAAAAACCAAACCCTGAAATTAGCTGAAAGATGGAAATACAGCAAAACTCCCAAACACAGTGTGTGTGTGTGTGTGTGTGTGTGTGTGTGTGTGTGTGTGTGTGTGTGTGTGTGTGT